AGGGGATATAAGGACGACGCCGCCGCCGTATGATTTCGCGGCCGACGAGCCGTCAGTGAAGAGGATCCATGTGTCATCGGGCTCTGGGCCGGGAGTGATAGCGGTTGTTTCCCTTGCCGTGCATTCGGTGACGAAGTCGGCCAAGGCTTGCCCTTTGATAGATGGCCTTGGCTTGATCTCAATCTGAAATTGGCTGAGGAAGATCGCCCATTTCACCATCCTTGAGGAGCTAGTGGGGCTCCTCATGAGTGCGCCAAGGGGCTGCTGGGTCCGGACATGGACGACATGGGCCTGGAAGTAGTGCCCCAGCTTTTTCACTGTATGGATGATGGCTAGCACCGTCTTCTCAATGGGGGAGTACCTGAGCTCGGCCTCCCTAAGTGTCTTGCTGATGTAGAATATAGCCTTCTGCACCCCTTCGTCCTCACGGATGAGCACGGAGCTGATGGCCGATGTGCTCACCCCTAAGTACAAGAAGAGGGTTTCGCCGGTTTTGGGTTTGGAGAGCACTGGTGGGGACGATAGGTACCTCTTCAGCTCTTCAAATGCTTCCTGGCACTCCGTCGTCCACTTGAAGCTGTTTGCCTTGCGCATGATTTGGAAGAAAGGGAGTGACCTTTCGGCTGACTTGGAGAGGAAACGGCTCAGGGCCGCCAGGCGCCCCGTCAGCCGCTGTACCTCCTTGACGTTGCGGGGCGGCTCCATGTCGATGATAGCCTGTATCTTCTCCAGATTTATTTCAATGCCTCTCCAGATTTTTGGGCGAGGACGACGTTGGCTAGCCACGTCGGGTACTTCACCTCCTTGATGTGGTTGATTGAGAGGAGCATGGTGACCTCCCATTTGACGAAGTCCCGCATGTCGGCGGACAAGTAGCGCCGCTTCTGCTTGACAGGCGTGGAGGTTGGATCGACGGTCAGCCGGTGGGTGATCACCTGTCGGCTGATGCCTGGCATGTCGTCCGGGCCCCACGCGAAGATGACGGCGTATGATCGCAGGACGAGGAGGATGGCGTCCCGCTGGTCCTGTGGGAGTTGCTTCCCGATTTTGAGGACCCGCTCCGGCCGGGAGGTATCCAGAGGGACTTCCTCGACCTCCTCGGCCGATTCGGCATGCGGTCTCTCCTCGTCCTTGGCAGCGGCTGCCGTGATGGTGTCTATCCTCTGTCCGTCCCTCTCGGCTGGCCTTGTTAGCTTGAGGTAGCATGCTCTGGCTATCCTCTGGTTTCCTCTGGCGTAACCGATGCCGCCATTGGTGGTGAACTATAGACATTATATATCATTGATTTATAGCTCAATTAGTACAATAGTTTTTATATATATCTAATTTAGTGTCATATGAAAGATCATAAAATTTTACGATTTTTTATATATGTTTTGTTAAATTTGGAGTGATGCAATGAGTGAGTTGATTGGATTAAAATGAATAGCAGTGATGCACCGAGTGAATAATAGTGATACACCGAGTGAATAGCAGCGATGCATTGAGTGCACTTAGATTAATAAAATGATTTAGTAGTGGTGATAATAAAATTTTTATTAACCAAATAAGACTCACACATCATTGATTCATACTTCAGTTTTATTATATAAAAATAATAAATTTTTTATTTTAATATATGCAATATTGGGTTAATATGAAAGATTACAAAACTTATGAATTTTGATACATTTCTTATAAAAACTGGAGTACAAAAAAAGAAGAAAAAATCTTGTCCCCATTCTCTAAATAAGATGACGTGATTAAAGTGAATGTACCGAGTAAATAGAAACGAAGCACCAAGTCAACTTGAATTAATTAAATGTAACTTGAATTAATTAAATGTTACAGCAGTAGTGATAACAACATTTATTAACTAATAAGAAACAGACACATTATTATTTTATAACTACATTTTATTCTATAAAATAATATAATTTTATTTTTATATATGCAATATTGATGGCATATGAAAGATCAATGAGTTTTGATATTTTCTCCTTCACTTTCTCCAAATGAGTTGGCGTGATTAATATGAACAACACTTATGCACCAAGTGAATAGTAGAGATGCATCAAGTGATCTTGGATTAATTAAATGTTTTAGTAGTAATTGATGGTACCATGGACTCCAACCATGGGCCAATTACGGAATTATAAATAAAGCCCATAACGGGATCAAGCCCTCAGCGGGATCAGCCCTCAGCGGGATTAGCCCATAAGCGGGATTAGCCATTACGGGATCAGGCCACAAGCAAGATTAATATTAATCAGCTACTGGGCCTAATTAGGAATCAGACTCACAATAAGAACCCACAACCAGGCCAGGCTGGACAACAGACCTCGAGCCTGGGCGGAGTCCTAGTGAGGTCGGGATATTCCTAGGGCTTACGTGACAAGCTATCATTCGTGCATAGCTATCTGACAGCATGCAAGAATTAAGGAAGGAACGTGGACTTGAAGGAACAATCATTGCCCAACGTCCAAGATGTTACATGAGTCTAATTCGATTGAACATGTAACCAATAACATTAATTGTATCAGTTTCCTCCTAGAAAACTAGTTCCTATAGTTTATAAATACTTCATGTACTCATCCTAGCAAGGGACCGATTTCCAGAATAAAGAATACTACCTTACGCTGCCATATTTTCATATGCTCTCGTAGATATAGCTCTTGTAGTTGGATTAAACTCCATCAGTAATGATAATAAATCTTTTATTAACCAATAAGAGACTAACACCTCATTGATTTTTTACCCAAATGTATTGTATAAAATAATGTTTTTATTTTTATATATGCAATATTGGTGTCATATGAAAGATAATAGAATGTTATAAATTTTGATGTATTTTCTGTAAAAATTGGAGTACAAATAAATAAGTTTTAATACATTTTAAAAATGTTTTTTTTCTCCTTCATTGTCTCCAAATGAGTAGTGATAATACAATTTTTATAAATCAATAGAACTTTCAACTCAGATTTTCTTTATAAAATACTACCTTTATCCCATTCAAAAGTTCCCGTCCACTATTATCCGATCAACATAAAGTCTTCTTAATCTATTACTTTATGTATCCAATTTTTTATCAAATTTGGGTTTTTCTTTGCGACTTTATAAAACTTTTGATGTAGTCTCTGGATATGTAAATTTTATTTACTAAAAAGAATCTGGATATGTCAATAAACTTTATGGTCAGTTAAATATCGTAAACCGTGGCAAATCTTTTTACGTGACATGTATATATATATACACACACACATAATATATATATATATACACACATAATATATATATATATACATATATATATATATATACACACACATAATATTGGTGTCATAGGAAAGATAATAAAAAATTATGAATTTTGATATAGTTTTTGTAAAAATTGGATTATAAATATAAAAGTTATATCACTTTAAAAAGAGAGATCATTTCTCCTTGTTTTGCTCCAAATCGGTTGTGATGTACGGAGTTTTTTTTGAAATAGTCGTGTGGTGTAGAGAGTTAATTAATTATTTTAATTGTTGTGATAATAGAATTTGCTTTATCCAATAGAAAGCTGAGACATCATTAATTTTCAACTCAACTTTACTATATAAAACAAACATATCACACGTTATTTTATGGAAAAATTTTATTTCATTTATCATTGATGAGTTGTCTGGTTAATAGTAAGAAGATACTCCCTCCGTCCCTTAAAACTTCACCATCTTTCCTTTTTGGGATGTCTCAAAAAATTTTGTCACTTTCCCTTTTAATCAATTACTAGCTTTCAAGCCCGTGCGATGCACGGACAATATGTAATTTAGCTAATTTGAAATTTAATTTCTATCGGATCACATATAATGTGATTTAAAAGAAAAATAAACTTAGTCTAATACAGAGTCTATTTGATAATACTAAAGTAAATAGAATTAACTTATTTTGCTGAAATTGATTGAATTCTAGTTAAATAGGTGGAATCTTCTGAATCACGAAAAATATATGTGAAATATATTTCATTTGTGAAACAAAGAAAAAAAAATTAAATTGGTCTTCTACATAAGCATCTCAAGTAAACATAATTGTTATGAACCCAATAATAATAAAAAATTATATTTCTTAATTGTTATATCTTACAGTTTACTCATTAATAAGAACGTTTTTAGTTGAATTAAAATTTCGGATTTGATTTTGTATGAATTAATATGGTCTATTAGATGTCTGTTTTTATGTGACTTATTGTTATAATTATTAAAATTTGATCTGATCTGATTTAATGTGGAACTAAAATCAATCCAATTCAAAACATTCTATTAAAATAAAAGTAGGAATTCGTAAACCTATAAAGATTTTCTAATTTGGATTAGGAATCTATTTCAAAAGTGAAGGCATATTTGAATTTTAGGTGTAAAATAAAGAAACAATGATTTTTTTTTACTTATTTCGCTAAGCTAAACATATTTACTTGTGAAAATATATATACTTTATGTTGGTTATAATTTTTAATTTTATTTTTAATTATTTACTTATTTGAAGCTTACTAATTTATTAATAGGTGTCAAATTAATAAGTAAACTAATTTGGATATTTGTTTCTATTTAATTCGGTGTAGTAAACTAATATAAATTAGTTTCCATATCAATAAACGTTATTAGAATTTCACTTTGATAACAAAAAATTATTTTACTTATTTGAAGCTTACCAAATTAATTAAGTTGGATTTTTAAGGATATTTGTTTCCATATCAATATGCAATCAAAAATACAATTTAATAAAAACAAAAGGTATAAAAATAAGTAAATAATTATTATATATAATGACATGACAGGATTATGTGGCACTTTATATGCTCTTAAAAAGTTCATCTTTTATATATATATATATTGATTTTGTGTTTTCTTTTATTTTTCTGTTCTCTTCACAAACCTCAACCACACAGTTTTTACTTTATTATTCTCTGTGCCGGTTAACTTTTTCAAAGTTTTAAGGGAGGACATAATATCAAAAGAAATTTGACTGACACAGTAATAATAGATAAGATTCCGAAGAACAGGCAGTTGATGTTAGGCGGTTTGTCTTCCTCCCTTCTCCACGGACCACAGTCGACGTCGCCGCCTCACTCTCCGCCGCGTTCAGTGCTTTCCGCTGCTCAGCTTATCACACCTGCAGCTTTATCCATGTTATCTTTACCCTCTCAGTACTGTTCTGTTCATCCTCAATTGCACCGCCTCTTCTCTCTGGCTACAACACACTTCTCCCCTTCCGTCTTCCAGCCTCGTCTTCCTTGCACCGATATTATTCCAATACGCGCCGCCCGTAGTAGAGTCTCTTTAGTGATGACCAATGAAGAGGTGCCCAAGCAACGGAGGCGGACGCTGTTTCCGGGTGGCTTCAAGATACCGGAAATCAAAGTTCCCAATCTCGTGCTCCAGCTAAGCGCTCGAGATGTCTTCGATGACAAAACCGTTCTTGACGAAGTAGATCAGGCGGTATCGTCTCTAGTTGGCATCGTGCTCCTCACTGGCGGTGGGATGACAGGTGGGAAATTATACGACGCTGCTTGCTTGTTGAAGTCTGTCATCCGCGAAAGAGCCTACTTGTTGGTCGACGAAAGAGTTGACATTGCAGCCGCAGTAAATGCCAGTGGAGTTTTGCTCTCAGATCATGGTTATTTCATTGACCTTCCATAGTGCATTTTTTAACCAATGCAGTGATTTTATTTATATTACAACAACAACATCGAAGCCTTAATCCCAAAAGAATTTGGGGTCGGCTAACATGACAATTTATTTATATTAAATTAGTAATTAATAATGTCTAGATCACAATTGTCCGAGTGGGACATTGATAATTAACATTCAATCAGGTCTCCCTACCATTGTGGCTAGGAACACAATGTTGGATTCGAAGTCCGAGTCAGTTGTTCTCCCTTTGGTGGCAAGAGTTGTAGAAACACCTGAGGCTGCAATTCAAGCATCTAATTCTGAAGGAGCCGATTTTATTTTATACAATGTTGGGAATAATAGGTCAGAGGAAGTGATGAGGTCTGTGTTTGAGACACTGAAAGTTCCAGTGTTTGTCATGATTGGTTCGCATGGAGAGGGGAAGCTGCTGAATGACGTTTCCTATTTTCTTCAATTAGGAGCTAGTGGCTTTGTTATATCTATAGATGAATTGAAAGTGGTAGGTAATGAAGAGTTCAGCAAACTGCTTTTAGGTGCGCATGCACCAGAGATGAAAACTGAGGAAGGCTTTGGGCTTCAAATCTTTGGTTCTGGTAATGGCTTTCCTGGGAAGAAGAAGGTGGCTGGCTTCACCAAGTTGCGTAAGAGAGAACTGCATCTAGTTGAAACTGAGAAGCTCATTTTGCATGAAACAATAAATGCCATAAAACAAGCTGCTCCACTGGTGAGACTTTGTGGTTAATATTTAGCATCTCAAGTGCTATATAGATTCGAAATCTTGTTAATGCTAATCTGAACAAATTTTGAACTATCAGATGGAAGAGGTCTCACTCCTCAAGGAGGCTGTCTCTCAACTTGATGATCCGTTTTTACTGGTTATAGTGGTAATTGTGTGCTGAAATTCAACAAATTCTGGTTCCAGGGACATGCATGGGTATTATACCTTAATTTCAAATGGCTAGACTTTATTGTTCGATTTTTTTCACATTTTTTATTGGCAGATTTGGAATGGATTTTTTCACAACACTTTTTCAATTGAGCTAGTAATTGTAGGCCACTATTTTCTTGGGCAGGGTGGGGCCGGTGGGGGTATTGGGATGATATATCCAATATTTGCTGGAGAGGAAATTTTTAATGGCCAAAAATGGATTGTAATCTATACTAATGGGATTACATAACACAACATATGCATCTAAACCCCCTAAGTGATATAATTTCAATGGTTGAAGAACAAGATTTGGTGGGGGTATACTTTCCAACTGTGGCATTGCATGCTCTTCAACTTTAATATTTATTCGTTAGCTTATACGTCGGAAGAAAATTTGTTTCTTGTCATGTTGCATTGGATTGCACACATGCCACAACCATGGAGGGATGCGCTTAGGTGCATAGGCCGGGTTTTAACATGGATCAGGATCACGTGCTAACCTAAGCAGCCAATCCTGGATTCATCCCTCCCAACAAGCAATGGAACTGTTTCCTTATGTGTAGTCGTCTCATCCCGTCCCACCATGGAAAAAGCACATTTAAAAAATGTGAGGATTCATTTATTTTACTAATAAACTACAGGGAGAGTTCAACTCTGGGAAATCAACTTTTATCAATGCTCTTCTTGGAGAAAGGTACCTGAAAGATGGCGTCGTTCCTACAACCAATGAGATCACCTTTTTACGCTATTCAGAGTTTGATAAGCCACAACATTGTGAAAGGAATCCAAATGGTCAATGTGTATGCTATCTACCCGCTCCTATTCTAAAAGAAGTAAGTTACTTGAAGATTTAAAGCCTTATTGGAGTTATCTTCAATGAAGACTATGCACATAAGATATATTGTTCTCCCAAATTGAATATCTTGGCTACACTGACATTTTTTTGATGTGGAATATGATCAATTCTTTACAAATGGATAATGGTATATGATATACATATCTCTAATAAATGAAATTGGTTCCAACCATCAACGTAATGTCCTACATCTGCTAGCTTTTTTCTTGCAAATCACTCCCTTTCGTGCTTGTATTGTTGCTTGATATTGTATCATTTTTTCCCTCCAATTTAATTATTATTGTTCTTATTCAGTTATTCCCCATTCACTTACTATAAATTTCTTCCTCACTTATAGTTACATTATACGTAGTATTTTTTTGTGTGTTTTTCAGTTATTGAAAATAATGCCTTGTGTGCAACAAAATATTTTGGGGAAAAATACGGAAAAGATACATGTGGTTGGATCCGTTTTCAGATAGGGTCATGTGTTTCATTTTCTAACAAAGTGGATCATGTGTTTAAACTCCGTTATCACAAGAGGAGCGCGACGCGCCTGACATCATTAGAAATCGCCGGAGGAAGACAATGAACAGTAACTTTTCAAAAGTGTCCGGAAAATTAAAAGAAAAATAGTGAGAGGTGTGCCTCAACAAGACTACCACTACACAATCTTTCTTTTTTTGTTTCGAGCCACCCTTGTCATCGGAAAGTACACCGGAAAAGTGATATTAGTGAATTCATTTTAAAACAATAATTCAAATATATCCCAAAAATCCAATGATGAAGATGGTGTGAAGGTCATCTTGACGAGACGCATCTTCCGGTATTTTTCTTTTAATTTTTTCGGGTATTTTTGAAAATCGGAGTTACTATTCATCGTCTTTTCCGGCATTTTTAATGGCATTAGACGCCAGGATCTTGAGATAATGAAGTTCAAACACATAGCCGACTTTGTTAAAAAATCAAACACATGACCCTACATGAAATCAGGCCCAACCACAGATACCTTTTTCGTACTTTTCCCAATCACATGCAATTTTTTGCATTAAAGTTCCAATACCTCTATGAGTAACCTTCTAGTGGGACAATGCCCAACAAAGATTTTTTCATTTCTTTGTTTTATGTGTCACAATCTTCTCTTATTTGTGTTGTGTAGATGATTATAGTTGATACTCCTGGAACCAACGTGATACTTCAACGTCAACAAAGGCTGACCGAGGAATTCGTCCCTCGTGCAGATTTGCTCCTCTTTGTTATGTCTGCTGATCGACCATTGACTGAAAGTGAGGTATGATTTAGTGGATGCTATTAGCATATTATTATTGCATAGTCTATGTCAAGCCCTTGGATTTATAGGGTTTTGCATGAGTAAGTTTGCTGACTGAGTTTAGTAAATAATTTACAGTAATTGTCAAGTGCTGTGAACACTAATAGTTTTGAGGGGCCTATTTCTTGCATCCATTGTTATTTTATTTTTTAACCATTGGTTAGCACCTTAGCGCTATGAACTCATGCATGTATGGTATTAAACAGGTCAGTTTTCTTCGTTACACTCAGCAGTGGAAGAAAAAGGTCATCTTTGTGCTGAACAAATCTGACATTTACTTGAACATGCATGAGGTTAGTAGGATGCTCCTTTTGCCTTGATGATATTTGGTCAGAGGCTGCTCATATTGCACGAATGGATTGCTTAAATCAAGCTAGACATTGATATACTTGAGTATCTCGGAATAAAACTTTATTGATATTTGCAGCAAGATGAAGCTGTTGCTTTCATAAAAGAAAATGCGAAGAAGTTGTTGAGTACTGAAAATGTGACCTTATACCCTGTATCTTCACGATGTGCGCTTGAAACAAAGCTTTCCGCTCCTTCTGTCATTCTGAAAGACATTAATGGCCAATCCTTGGGTGAATCTCATTTGAAATCTGCAAGTTTCTTTGAGCTTGAGAGATACTTGTATAACTCTTTGGATGCCTCAACAAGCACAGGAATTCAACGTATGAGACTTAAGCTTGAGACTCCAGTTGTAATTGCAGAGCAGCTGCTTTCTTCCTGCCAAACTACAGTGAGTAAAGAGTGTGAGATAGCTACAATTGATTTAGTGTCTGTGAATGATCTTATCAACGGTGTAAAAGACTGGACAAAGAAGATGGAAATCGAAAGCATCTCCTGGAAGAAGCAAATTCTTTCCGTGGTATGGCCCCCTTTCGAGATTGATGGCTGATACCCTGTCATTCCTTTCTTCTTTTTCTGGACACCTCTTTTTCTTGTCTCTGATTTGCTGCCTTGTGAAAATCCAGGTTGACAGCACACAGACACGTATTGTCCAGCTTGTAGGTTCTACTCTACGTCTTTCAAATCTTGATCTAGTCACTGGATATGTATTTAAAAGAGGAAAAACAGCTCAAATGCCAGTCACAGTAACTGTCAAGAATGATATTATCAGTCCAGCAGCTCTTGAAGCGGAGGTGATTAAAACTCTTTTAAGTATACTTGGTCTGTTCTTTAATCGAGTTTAGAAGTTGCTGCTCTACTTTGAATTCTGTACCTGAAGCAGTTGGTGTCTTTTATTGTTTTATCACTGTTGGGTGTGTGGTCGGGCTTTAGGGGTCCTGCTGTCCTGGGGTGGTTTATGAAGTTATGACTCAAATGGAATTGAAAGAAATACCATAAATGGAATCTGGCCAGATGCCCTTGTTTTTTCTCATACGAACAAAAAATTGAGCAGTTTTTTGAAGGTCAGCCAGCTTCAGTGAGAACTTTCAAGGATTTTACATGTCCTGTTTTTCTGTGCTGCAAGAATGTCTTCTATGAGGGTAGTGTTACATCATTAATTTTGTTCAATCTTTTTTTAAACGCCCACCTTTCAGAAGCTACTGGCAGAATATAAGGCCTGGTTACAGTCAAATGCAGACCATGAAGCACAATTTTACAGAGACTATTTTGATGGGGAGAAGCACATTGAGGCTGGTAGCTGTACAATACCTGGAAGGAAATATGTACTAAGCTCGCATGTGATGGGGGCATTTAGTCCAACAGCTGCTTCAAAGTTGTTTGAGCAAGAAATACGTGAAACGGTACATGATCATTTTTTGTTTCCTTGTTGCATAGGTTAGTGGTCTGTTCGGATACGGAAGCTGTTAGGAAAGAAAATAGGAAGTAATATGAAAATTTTGGGATTAAAGAAAATGTGTGGGGAGGGAGCTTAAACATTGGTTCAAACTTAACATAGTAATCTGTGATTCTTGTTCAAACTCGTTTTATATACAGAGTATTTATTTCTATTGTAAAAACAACAATCATATACTCCCTCTGTTATCTTCATAATAGGACTAAAAGTCATCTTCAAACTCGTTTTATATACAGAGTAATTATCAAAATAGGACTAAAAGTCATTCACTTTTCACAAATAGGACCAAAAAATAAACTATGTTTGCATAGGACTAATTATGTGTACCTTGGACAATTATACCCTTATAGCTATTAAAATGTTTTAATTCCTAATAAAATAATAAAAAATAATAAAAATTCGTAAAAAATACTAAAAAATTAAGAAAAACATTTCGATATTAAATATTTAATTAATTTTTTTTTCAAAAAATTAAAAAAATTAAAAAAAAAATTAAAAAAAAATAAAAACTCAAAAAAAAAAATCGCCGCCGCCTGTGCCGCCTCAGCACCACCACCTCCCGTCACCAGGGGAAAAAATGCCAAGTTCATTACGAATGCCATATTTATGGCAAAAAAAAATGAAAATGTTGGCATTTGAAAAGAGAAATATGACACTTTTTTGGCATTTTCAGAAAAAAATGGCATTTTTCTGGGAAAATGGCATTTTTTCATCGGCCGGAGGTGGTGGTGCTGAGAGGTAGTACAAGCGGTGGGAAAGGCATCCATATTTTTTAAATTTTTTTTACGGAGTTTTACTATTTTTTATTAATTTTTCTAAAAATAAAATTATTTTTAAAAAAAAAGTTTTTGAATTTTTTATTTTATAAAAATTTTAAAATTTTTTTAATTATATTTCTACGATTTTTTGAATTTTTTTCGAATTTATTATGAATTAAACATTTAATTATGGCTTTTGACTATTTTTAATTCATATTTAATGGAAGGGTAAGAATGGAATGCAAAAATAGGTATGTTTCCAATAGGACTCATATGGTCTTATTTTGGAATAAAAACATAGCAAGTCCTTTTTTAGGTTTTTGCCATAGTTTTAGTCCTATTTGAACTAATTTCTATTTCCTTTTTTGTAAGTATGGAAAAGATACTTGTGGTTGAGCCCATTTTCAGATAGGGTCATGTGTTTCATTTTTTATCAAAGTGACCAAGTGGGTCATGTGTTTAAATTCCGTTGTCACAAGAGGGTCACACCGTTAAAAACATTTGAGAAAGACGGTTAATAGTAACTCCGATTTTCAAAAGTGTTCGGAAAATTAAAAGAAAAACACCGAAAGGTGCGCCTCGTCAAGATGGCCTCCAAACCACCTTCGCCTTTGGATTTTTCGGATCTGTTTGAATTATTTTGTAAAACTGATTGCACTAATATCACTTTTCCGGTGGACTTTCCGGTGACAAGGGTGGTTGGAAACAAAAAAGAAAGATGGTCTAGCGGTCGTCTTGTTGAGGTGCACCTTCCGATATTTTTCATTTAATATTTTGGGCACTTTTGAAAACCGGAGTTACTATTAACCGTCTTTCTCTGACATTTTTAACGGCGTTACCCTCTAGTGATAACAGAATTCAAACACATGAACCAATTTGATAAAAAATGAAACACATGATCCTATCTGAAAACGGATCCAACCACAAGTACCTTTTCCGTACTCTCCCCTTCATTTTTCTTTTATGACAAAGAACTTGTGGTTCCTATTATATCTCTCCTCATGAGCAACTTTGTACTACACAGTTCCCACTTTCTAAATAATCCAAAGTTGATAAAAGGACTGAGGGAGTGTTTTTTATGGATACAACCAAACGCCAGAAAACAACTTCCTTTATTATTTTTTCCCTTTCCCTAGCGTTTCCTGGATCCAAAAATGACCTAAATTCTCTTCTCACATGGCCATACTTTCCAAGGAGAAGTTTAAGTATCATTCACCTCAATTGTGCTGAAGTGCATTGAAAACTCACATTTGTTCTTCAGTTCTTGGGAACTTTTGGTGGGCTTGGAGCAGCTGGTCTTTCAGCATCCCTCTTGACATCTATTCTGCCAACAACATTAGAAGATCTTCTTGCTCTTGCGCTTTGTTCTGCAGGAGGGTTAGCTCTTTCTTCTTGTTTTGCGCCTGAATTAAATCATCAATTTCTTCAAATTCTCTTTTAATATTGTCCTAAAAGTTGTGTGTCTTATGTGACAGCCTACTTGCACTTTACAAGTTTCCAGCTCGTAAGCAACAGGCTGTGGATAAAGTGAAGAGAGCTGCTGATGGCTTAGCACGCCAAATTGAAGAAGCAATGCGGAAAGATTTGTTGGAGACAACATTGTATTTGGAGGAGTTGGTTAGAGTCATTAGCAAGCCTTATCAAGAAGCTGCACAGCATAAACTGGACAAGCTTTCGGCCACAGCAGATGAACTTGCAAAAATCGAGACCAAACTGAAAACCTTGCAATCTGAAATTCAGAATCTAAATTAGGTGGGGCATAATGTTTTGCAACGCGCATAGACAAGAGCTGTGATACTCTTATACTCATTAAAATTTGAAAGGCTTTTTCGGAAGGCACTGAAATTGCTGAAGTATTTAAAATGTATTTATAGATAAAATAGTGGAAGATTTATATGAAAAAGTTAAAATGGTCATCTTCAGCAACTTCATTAAAAATGCAACTCTAAATTGTTCAGTTATTTAGGGTGCTTGGTTGAGAAAGTAGTGTTTGGTAAACAATCTAAATGATAAGAAGGCTGAATGTTGTAAACAATAATAATGAAATTTTGTAGAACAATACTGTTTTTTACTACTTCTGCTTCACATTCAATACCATTTTCCCTTCCTGGTGATTGATGAAAGGGATTGAAGAAGTGATTTGTATTTTGTTTTTCACCTTTCGTGGTGGTAATTCCGAGGAAATTGCAAATGTAGTCTCGCTATGCGCTTTCCCAGTTAAAAATATTAAATAGAAAAAGAAAATACTTTTAAGCTTAACCTTGTGGCAAATCCTTGGGAGTTGGGAGTACTAAAAAAGGATTTGGTGTAACCGTGTAACCTTGTGCCAAATTATAATGTGGAAATTTCCTATTTGAGATGCTTTTCTTTGGATGTTTTTATTTGGATCGTAATTTGTCCCAGATCAGACCAGACCAGATTAGACTTGGATAGTTATAAAAATACAAAGAAACCAGATCAGACCAGACCAGATCAACAAATTACAGATCAACAAATTACAGTTGCATTTTGTTTATAGCCAAACTCTACTTATTTTTTCATTTCCGTTTCCTGACCCCCCCCTATTGTCTCCACCACCACCAAAACATCTGATTGTCGAATCTCCACCCATTTCCTCCACTATTTTCGTTCTTGAAGAGGTGTTCCACAAAATAACAAAGCTGTTGGAGCTATTGCATGTGAGACGAGGATGCATGCGATGTGGTCTGAATTCAGAATTTGCCTGATTTAGGATGTTTTTCATTGGATTGAATTTTCTGATTTGATTTGATCTGTTTAAGTTTGATGTGGTCTAGTAAATGTTTGGGCTTTTCATATTTTGTGACTATCGAAATATGGACTGTTTAATTTTGGTGGTCTGGTCATTTGGTCAATGATTGACACTTATCAAACTAATTTTGCAGCTAGAGAAGCTCTAATGATCACATACAAGTGTCAACTGTCAAGGTGTGATGTGAGGGTGTGATTGTTCGCTAGACTTCTAGCAATGAAGAACTGAATATCTAAAAGTCGCCAGACTTGCCTCCTAGGTTGTTCCTCCACTCCATCTATCCTTATTTTTGTTACCAACGACCATTCAAAAAAGAAACTCTTGCACTATTTTTCATTTTGCAAGCTAACTTACAAGTATGATGTATTATGGAGCTTTAACGAGAACATTTCGTTTTGCTAACATTTGAACTTTAATGCTGAATTGTGTTAAACCATGGAGGCCTGATTAATACGAAGCATTGGTACGGCTGAGTGAAATCAACGGACAATATTTCAGACTACTAGATCCTTCGATCCTCCCTATATATATACTATACCCAACCACACGAATAAATGAATAATGTTGCATTAACAACACAGACTTCTCACTAGGGGTGTGCATCGGTTCAAAACCAGATCGGACCAGAACCGGATTTACCATGATATGGAAACCGAAAACCAGATCGGATGTATTCCGGTTTTAATCCGGAACCGAACTGGTTTATCCGGTTCAAAACCGGAACCAGATCGGAAAAACCGGTTTCTAAATAAATAATTTTTATCTTTACTAAAAAAGCTACTAATCATTCGATAAAAATGGAGTACTTATTATTAAAATTATTACTTTTATTATTATTGTTTTCTAAAATCATTTTAATTAATTTTAGTGAGCAAATATTGGAGTAACTTGAGACTAAAATAATACTCCCTCCGGTCCTTATTAAACTTTACACTTTGACTTCACATATATTAAGAAAATAAATTTGACTTTACTATAGAGTACACTGTTTGGCACTGTTTGACACTGTTTGACACTGTTTTGCACTGTTTGGTGTAGATTTGTTTGCCAAATAAGGCAAATAAGGAAGTGTAAAGTTTAATATGGGACGACCCAAAAAGGAAAGTGTAAAGTTAATTAAGGACCGGAGGGAGTATATACTTCGTACTACATACTTCGTATTAGTTAATTTTATTATTATGACTATAAAAATGAATGGATAAATATAATATTACGATAATATATATTATAATCATTATGAAATTGATTGCTATTATATATTGTTATTAGTATGTAGTATTATTTTTTATTTTATAACTAATATTTTATTAGTATTAGTAATTTTTTTTAAATATAGCAAAACCGGTTAAATCCGGTTCAAATCGGAATAATCCGGTTGTAAACCAGAATCGGACCGGATACCGGTTTCCTGAATTTTCTTAACCGAAAACCGAACCGGATATCATTCCGGTTCGACCCGGTTCCAGATTTTCCGGTCCGGTTCGGTCCGGTGTTCCGGTTTAAACCGGATAGTGCACACCCCTACTTCTCACGTATTCTAAGTTATTCAAAACAACAATTATCAAGGGATTCAAGGCTATGTAAAGCTAGAGTAATTGACACATGATAATCTGTAATGTGCTTTCTTTCTTTCTTTCAATATGGGGAAAAATCTTGTTCATTCGGATACAAGAAACCCCACACGCACACACCGTTGGTACAAAGCAAAAAACTGAAAAATAACCAACTCCCATCATGCTCCTTACTTTATGCATGAAGTGGGGCAGCGGTTACAACCCATGCACACGTACAACACAACACATGCAAACGTACAAACTATGAAATTAAATGTCAACAAACCAAAGAAACTAAAAAAGAAATAGAGATGAATAAATAACAAGTATAACGTCCACACTCTCTCCATTAAACTTGTTTCACCCTTCAACATTTCACTCCAATCTTGTCTAGCAGTTCAATAAACTTTTGTCTTCCAAGAGGTTTAGTTAGGATATCTGCCAGCTGTCCCTCCGTTTTTATATGCTCCAACTCAATGATACCATTCTCAACACATTCACGAACGAAATGTAATCTAGTAGCAATATGCTTACTTCTCTGATGATAAACAGGATTCTTGGCAAGTGCTATGGAAGACTTGTTGTCAATCTTCAGGACTGGCTTCATCGTGTTTCCTCCTTTTAAACTCTCCATCACCCTTGTGAGCCAAATACCTTGACATGCACCTCCAGTTGCTGCTATGTACTCAGCTTTACAGGATGACAAGGCCATTATCCTTGGTTTTTTAGAAACCCATGTGATGGGGCTTTCTCCAAAGAAATGAATGATTTCAGTGGTGCTTTTTCTATCATCAGTATCCCCTGCAAGATCACTATCACTGAAACCAACCAATTCTTCACTAATTTGAGCCTTCTTGTATACACAATCCATGTTCAGTGTCCCCTTTACTTATCTCAGAATTTACTTGACTGCAATCATATGTGTGATGGTTGGAGGGTCCATATATCTGCTGACAACTTCTACTGAGCAGGCTAGATCAGGATGGCTGTTGACCGGATATCTAAGACTCCCAATAATGCTTATGTATAAGGTTTTCTCTACCAGTGGTTCACCATCATTTCTGCTTAATTTGCATCTTGGTCCCATTGGAAGTGAGCAAGGATTACAATCTGTCATTCCAACCTTTTCTAGGATTTTCTTTGCATAGCTTGTCCGACATTAAGTCACAGCTTCCCCATCTTGCCTCACTTCAATCCCTAGACAGAGACTTAGCAATCCTAAATCACTCATTTCAAACTTAAGCATCATATATCAAGCTTGAATTGATTTATGGACTTGACACTTGGACTAGTTAAGAAGAGGTCATCCACGTATACTCCCACAATCAATAAATCTTCTACTTCCTTTTTAATATACAAAGCATGTTCAAACTAGCATTTCTTGAAATTCAGGGATTTCAAACATTTGTCTAGCTTCTCATTCCAAGCCCTTGGTGCTTGTTTCAAATCATAAAGAGCTTTGTGAAGTTTTAGTACCTTGTTTGAGTTGTTTTGGTCTACAAAACCTTCTGGCTGCATGACATATACATCTTCTTTCAGTTCCCCATTTAAAAAGGTTATCTTCACATCCATATGGTATATGGTGAACCTGCCACCTTTTTTGTCCTGAATTTGCAAGTAAAGTCCTTACTGTTTTTAGTCGGGCAATAGGTGCAAACATCTCTTTGTAATCAACTCCATACTTTTAGACATATCCCTTTGCAACTAATCTAGCCTTATGCTTGATTATTTGTCCCTCTGGGTTCTTCTTAATCCTAAAACCCCATTTCAGCCCTATGGCTTTTTGGTTCTTTCACAAATTTGAGAGTTCCCATGTTCCATTTTTCTATATAGAGTTGATCTCTAGTGCCATGGCATCCCTCCAATTCTTATTCCCTGCTGCTCCTTCATAGCTTGAAGGTTCTTCCATAGATAGGAAACACAGACTCGCATCTTCATCAACTTCCTTGGTGGCATCTTAGATCTCCTGCAGTGACCTGAAAATTCAAGTGCTCTTCACTTGAACTTGAGCCTCTGTTTGATCTTGGTGTGCCATGAGGAAAGATTGGAGGTGATGTCTCTCCTCCATCCTCATTTATAGTGGATGTAGTTTCACTATCCTCAGTTCTGCTTTCAGTCACATGAACTGTAAATGTGTTTCCGTTTGTGCTTTGTCCTCCTTCTTGGTTGTTCTCCCATGACCAGCCCATTTCTTCTTAAAAGACCACATCCCTACTAACTATAACCTTCTCTCTTACTGGATCAAGTAGTCTATAGGCTTTAGAACCCTCTTCATATCCTAGCAGAATGCTCTGATACCAAATGTTGGATTAACAACACAAACTTCTCACGTATTCTAAGCTATTCAAAACAATAATTATCAAGGCTATGTAAAGCTAGAGTAATTGACACATGATAATCTGTAATGTGTTTTCTTTCATTCTTTCAATATGGGGAAAAATCTTGTTCATTCGGATACAAAAAACCCCATAGGCACACACCTTAAGTACAACCCAAAAAACTGAAAAATAACCAACTCCAATCATCCTCCTAACTTTATGCATGAAGTGGGGCAGCGGTTACAACCCATGCATACATACAATACAACACATGCAAACATACAAATTATGAAATAAAATGTCAACAAACCAAAGAAACTAAAAAAAAATAGCTATGAATAAATAACAGGTTTAACGACCACAAATAACACTACATACGATCAACGAAGAAAAATAAAAGAGCTAGAATTATACACCCAACCTACCAACCCAGCCTGTGACTAATGAGAGGGAAGAAGGGCAG